ACACACACACACACACACACACACACAAATAAAAACAAATAGTTTTAAAGTCCACTGAATGATCCCAGTGCTGATAGACCCAGAAATATCTTCTCACTTGTCACTACTGTACCTGGAAAATACAAGCCTTCAGATGACCCCGAAAGACTCAGGTCATCCATCACAGGAGAGCATCCCCTTAGTGTGTTGTCTGTAATGGGACAGCAGAGCTGGGACTTCTTTCTTGGTTCTCTAAGCATGCTCCTACTCACCCTCAAGAGGACCTACAGGGAATCTTGAGCCTCCTCAAGCATGTCTGAGAAAAGTGGTCCTGACAGTATGGGCCCAAGGAATGGGCACTGGTTTCCTAGTGACTGACTTCAGCTGTGACTTTCATGGACCACTAACCCTACCACACACTAGCCTTCAAGAGCAATGGAAACAGGGTGGAGAGATGCTCAGTGGTTAAGAGCACTTGCAGAGGACCTGAGTTCAGTTTCCAGCACTCACATCAGTCTGCTCACCATTGCCTGTAACTCCAGCCTCAAGGGGTCTGTTGCCTCTGGTCATCATAGGCACCTGAACTCATGCACAAGCCCACACACATACACACATAATTTAAAAAATATTTTATAAGAGTAATGGGAAGCACTCCACAAATATTTGAATTGCATACTAGAGACACAAATCAACATATGTACCTTGTGATGTGTTTGTCAATACATCCTTGCATTGAGATGAAAGCACAATAATTAATTGCTATTTACTTCTTGTGTATTATGGGCTCCATGCCCTAGGTAACATTTGTAGATTTAAGTGTTGTCTGGGAGATGATAAGTATGTCTAAATGATAATGTACAAGTTCATCTTATGAAGAGACTAATAATAGCCTCAGTTAGAGATTCAGTTAATTTGATCATATCATCTTCTAACTAGAGTGTATAGAATCATGGGGCAGTGAGGGGCACTCAGATCTCACCTCTTCCTCAGTCTTAATGAAAGGTTTAAAAGAAATGAACCTTAAAAAAAAATGTTGGGGCTGGAGATGGCTCAGTGGTTAAGAGTACTAGCTCCTCTTCCAGAGGACCTGAGTTCAGTTCCTAATACCCACATGGTGGCTTACAACCATCTGTAACTCTGGTCCCAGGAGATTTGGTCCCCTCTTCTGGCTTACTTAGGCACTTCATCCACATAGTAGACAATCATACAAATAAAATAAAAATGAAGGTAAAAAATCATTATAGTTATTATTTTGAAAATTAGGTATGCCTAAGTGTAAGTTTGCACATGTGTGTATGTGCACAGGTGCCTGCTCAGGCTGGAGGTATCAGATCCCATAGAGATGGAGTTACATGTGGCTGTGAGTCACCTGCTGTAGGTGCTGGGAATAGAATTCAGGTGATTTGCAAGTGAGGTATGTGCTCTTAACCACTGAGCCATCTCTCCAGGCTCAAATAAACCTTTAAGAAAAAACGGTAAGATAAATACTGAAATTTGGGACTGGATGAGAAATCCCACCAGGAATCTCAAATAGACAGACACGGTACAGTTTGCACTGGATTCCATATGCTGTGTCCATTCCTTTCCTTGTGGGTACTCAACAAACACATCCCCCATTATAACAATGAAAAGCAATAATGCCCAGTGATCCCTCTGGTTCCAGGTGATCTTGGGGACAGAGAAAATAAGGAAGTAAGTAAGTCTGTAATTTAAAGTATTTATGGGTCTAGTATGCCAAGTAAGACATACACAGAAGTAAGGAAAAATCCAAGGAGATCCCAGTTAAGTTCTCCATTCCATTGCTTTCATACAGACACGAGTCCACATTCAGCATGTCTACAGTCACGCTGCTGGCTGTCTAACACCCTAGATCCGTTCACCCTCTTGTATAAAGGTTGTCTTTGCAGGACATCCAAGATAACTTCATGTCAAAGCCACAAAGAAATTACCACAAATTTTCTATTTTGGAATGTTGATGGGTAAAATTTATTATATACAGTATAATATGCCTGGACGTTCACGTTACAATACACAGTTTTCATTTGTGCACTTGAGGAGTCAGGGACATGGAATGTAATGGAGTTTTATTGCCCAAGAGTTTGTAGACGTTTTGAACGATGAGTAAGAGGTTTGTCTTAAATTGAGGCGCTATGGGCAACGCTGCCCTGTGTGGTGATAAAAGTGGTGGCAGTCAGAAGCCTCCGGGTGGTAAGGATGGGCTAAAGTGACTGTCGGGATCTCAGCATGCAGCTGAGTGGGCGGTCGCTAGTGGCTAGATATCTTTACACATGCAGCTACAGAAAAGTGGAGAGAGACTAGCACACTCCTCCTTTCCTCCTATCTAAGGCTGAGGGGGGAGAGTGAAGGACGACACAGTGCAGAATTTGCACAGTTTAGAACATTCTATGTAAATTGTTTTCGTAGGACTGACTCAAAAAAACAAACAAAAACAAAACACTTCTTATGTCTGACTAAAGCCAGAAAACAAAAACAAAAACAACAAAAAGCAAAGCTTTTGTTCAGACACTTAGCAAACCCTGGTTATGAGAACAGTCATGGATATGTGAGCCATTCTGTTCGATTTCCAGCCTGGATTAGACCCTGTCCCTAAGTGTAGGATGTGTGACTGGTTCAGGCCGCTGCTCCCAGAAAAAGGGCCCCAGAGTATTGGAAATTTTTGTACTTAAAAAATTCTTGGTCCAGGTATGGTAGTACATACCTTTTCAGCAAAGGCAGAAGCAGGCAGCTCTCTGTGGGTTTAAGATCAGTCTGGTCTATACAGTAGGTTCCAGGACAGCCAAGACTACTTAATGAGGCCCTGTCTTAAACACAAATGAATACTTAAAAACTCTTAGCCAGGCGGTGGTGGTGCACGCCTTTAATCCCAGCACTCAGGAGGCAGAGGCAGGTGGATTTCTTCTAGGACAGCCAGAGCTGTTACACAGAGAAACCCTATCTCAAAAAAAAAACCGAAAACCAAACAAACCCCCAAAAGTCTTAAGGATGGAGCTGTTGCACTTCCAATCAACTGAAGAAACACACCAGCTCTCCGCACCGGCATCATCATCTGGCTAGCTCTGAGAGCCCACGCCCTGGATGAGGATTCGTGAGGAAACAGCCCCTCCACGGCTGTAAAAGCAGCATGATATTTCTCACGGGTGCTTTTGCTCACTCAGGATTTTGCTGAGAACCAAGTGCTGAGAGGGGTCCACAGCTCTGTGGGGTTCTGATGCCTCCACCCTCGGTTTGCAGGAAAAGTCAGCACACACGGGGTTCCGTTTATCACTTTAGCTGTTTTGATAATGCTCTCAGAGCTCCCTGGGGCTGCCTTTGGAGGTGTGGGTGCAGCCAAGGTTTTCTGTGACCATGTAAACACTCTGTCTTTACCAGACTCTCCAGACTCATCAGTTACATTGCCAACTTGAGAGAGGCCATAAGTGACCCTTGTTTGCCAATCTTACAGCCTATTGGTCAGGTTCATATACCAACAAAACCACAACAACAAAGTGACCACCAGCACTCCTATTACTGAGTGTTACTGATGGACAAACAGACCCTTGTAGTCACCAACTGTGAAACTGTATTGAGAAGTCAACAGTTCATAGCTATCACTAACCTGGAGCCTTATTTATCCAGGGATGAAACACTAAGGCCAGAAACATTTGAAGGAATTACACAAAGAAAAACCCACAGCAGCTAGGCGTTGGTGCTACATGCCTTTAATCCCAGCACTCGGGAGGCAGAGCCAGGCGGATCTCTGTGAGTTCGAGGCCAGCCTGGGCTACAGAGTGAGTTCCAGGAAAGGCACCAAAAACTACCCAGAGAAACCCTGTCTCTAAAAAACAAAACAAAACAAAACAAAAATACAACCCACAGCAAATAATTTTGACAAAATCTGTGACATTAGTGGATTTTTTTTCCTATTTTTCCATGAACAGTTGTTTCAGAATGAAAGGAAATATTTCATTTTTCCAGTTCCAAGGTGACTAAGTTGATTTTAACTGGAAACTGTCCTTTTCTGCAGTGTGTGTGTGTGTGTGTGTGTGTGTGTGTGTGTGTGTGTGTGTTTACCATGAACAAAACAGTAAAGACAACAATCACTGTCCTCACAAGTGGGACTGTGCTTTGCTATGTTTAGGGACAGAATTTTGTGGTCGGATATCAGGAAGGACCCAGGAAGTATTAGGGCATACACTCTAGAACCACAGAGCAGAACTCTGACGTGATGACTAGCTATTCTGGGAAGTTAGGACGGATCTGCTGCTCTGCAATATTTTGTTGTTGTCGTTAGATAGCCCAGGCTGGTTTTGAACCCATTATGTAGCCCAAGCTGGCTTGAAATTTGAGATCGCCCTGCCTTAGGCTCCCGAGTGCTGGGTTTACAGGTGTGTGTGATTGCCGGCAGCTCTAGGTCTTGTCATTGTTTCTGCCTCTCTAACTGCCCGAGTTGGTTCACTCCCTCTCTCCTCCCTCCTGTCTGCTCTGGTCAGCTTTTCTCATGGCCACGCTAGAGTGAATTTAGAGGAGGATTGGGTGGGCACTTTGTGGGCCAAGTCCGTGGCTGCTGGTACAGAGTGAGGGAGAGCCCCCAGACTGGGGACATAAGCCACCAGAGCCTTCAGGAGAAGACAACTCCCAACCTATGAGCACAGACGTGAAGTGAGCTGAGCTCTGATGTGACCCTGGTGCCCTTGGCAGACAGATCTTGTCCTCAGCACTGCTGGGCAGACTGCAAAGGTTCATGGGACGGGACAGTCCACTGAGCTACGGGAAGAAGGCACTCCCAGACGGCCCCTCACTGTTGCTTAGAGAAGAAGACCTTGAAAGCACTGCTGTAGCTCCTGTTGAAGGCTGTGTAGATGAGCGGGTTGAAGAAGGAGTTGGAATAGCCCAACCACAGGAAGATGCTCTTCCAGATGGCAGGGATGTCCCAGGAGCACAGGGGACCGATGAGCTCTGTGACAAAGAAAGGAAACCAGCAGAGCACAAACACCCCGATGAGGATGCCCACCATGAGGGCTGCCCTCTGCTCCTTCTGCTCCCGCCACGTGTCCCCTTCTGTCTGGAAGGTCACGGTGGCGTGGCGGACAGTGAACACCATCTCGGGCTGTTGTGTAGCATCCTTCACCTGCAAAGTACAAACAGACACTTTGTAAGGGACAGACTCTTCACGCCTGCCAGGTGGTGGCCAAGCTGAACCCAGGTACGGGTGGGCCTGAGCCCCACAAGCTGCTCCAAAGGAAGTGTTGGAGTTTAGGTGGGGGATCCCATAAACTAGGGGCAGAGTAGTGCAATGGCTGCGCCAGGGGGTCTGCATCTTAGAAAAGGGAGGATGCTGCAACACCAGAGTTCAACACAAGTGAGTTTGTGGCTATCTCATCAGCTAAAGGGGCAGCAAAAATAAGCAGAACGTGGGGTGTCCTGGTTAGCTTTAGCTGTCAACTTGGCATAAGGCAGAATCATCTGAGAGGAAAGCCTTAATTGAGAAATTGCCTAGATCAGATTGGCCTGTGGGGTGTGTGTGTGTGTGTGTGTGTGTGTGTGTGTGTGTGTGTGTGTGTGTGTGTGTGTGTGTGTGTTTGCCCAGCCTACTATGGGCAATATCATCCCTAGGCAAGTCATCCTGAATTGTATAATAATAAAACTAGCTGAGTTTCAGCCAGTAGTTCTCAACCTGTGGGTTGTGACCCCTCTGGCAAACCTCTGTCTCCAAAAACATTTACATTATGATTCATAACAATAGTAAAATTACAGTTATGAAGTAACAATGAAATAATTTTATGGTGGGGGTCACCACAACATGAGGAACTGTCCTAAAGGGTCGCAGCACTAGGAAGGTTGAGGACCACTGGACTAAGCCATCTGCCAAGCCAGCCAGCAAGAAGCATCCTCCATGTTTCCTGCTGTCCTTCTTGGGCTGTGAAGTGAATTCCTCAGTTAGAGGTGAGGTGAGGCTGTGTGGGCTAGGAAGCAGGCCTGCCTTCAAGCTCCTGCCTTGACTTCCCTTAATGATGGACTGTGGTCTGGCATTATAGGCTCAAATAGACACTCCCCTCTCCCAAGTCCGAGTTTCTCACAGCAACGTAACAGAAACTAGAGCATGAGGCATGTGGATTTGGTGGCAAAGAGACAGAAGACGGGTTCACAAACTGGGTGGAGTCCAAATCAACCTGGAGGCTAACTTCTAGGCTTGTCTGTGAGGGAAGACACACCCTCAGTGTGGGTAGCACCATCCCATAGGCTGGGGTCCCAGACTAAATAAAAGGACAGAGTGAGCGGAGCACCATCATCAGCCTCGTTCTGCTTCCCAGCTGCACAGACAGTGTGAGCTGCACAGACCTCAGGCTCCTGCCACTATGACCTCCCTGCCCTGATAGATTGCACCCCAGACCATAAGCCAATGCAAAGCCTTTCTCCCTTGAGTTGTTTCTGCCAGGTAATTTAACAGAAAAAAAGTATATACATATACATATATATTATATATTATACTATATATGTATATCCTAATGAGCTTATTATAAACAAAATAGTGAAGACTGAAAATTCATTTACCATATCTCTCACACCAGGTACCCTAACTCAACCAGCTACATGGCACCATGTGGAGGTCAGTGATTTTCCTTTGCCATCTGGAGGCTAACTGGCTGTGGCTTACTGCTACTGTCTAGCCTCAGAGAGGGCCCACTGTCGAGGTAGACTTTGAGGTCTCCTTTGCTCAAGCTTCACTCAGTGTGACACTCAGAGCACTTCCTGTTACCTACAGGATCGAGATGTAGCTCCTCATCTACTCTCAGCTTCTTCTCCAGCACCATGTCTGCCTGCACACCTCCATGTCCCGCCATGATGATAATGGACTAAACCTCTGAAACTATAAGCCACCCAATTCAGTGTTTCCTTTATAGGAGGTGCTGTGGTCATGGTGTCTCTTCACAGCAATAGAAACCCTCACTAAGACAGCAGGTGCGGGGCTCAGTGGGTAAAGGTGCTTGCCACCAAGCCTGATGACCTGAGTTCTATCACCTTAGACTTCATGATAGGAGGAGAGAACAGACTCCATCAGGACTCCCAGGAGGTCCTCCCTCTGACTCTTCCTCCCTCAGGAAGTCTTCATCACTCTTTTTTATTTTCATGGGCCAAACTGGGCATTGCTGGTGGCCGTAGGACTGCTGGCAACCTGAGGGTAACAGCAACAGTGAGGACACTGAAAACATGGGGTGCAACCTAAGACAGAGCGCCTGTGTGGCCTGGTGCAACCTAAGACAGAGCGCCTGTGTGGCCTGTGCAGGTGTCTCCATGATGGGTAAGGTGACCTGCTGACGTCCCACTCAACCTAAGTCAGAAGCTCATTTTTTAGTAAAAGGGGGGCCTGTAGGGCCCTGGCCCCTGTTTGGGTAACTGTTGCCTTGCTTTCTGACCTTGACCTTGATATCCTCCCTATGCTAATTCCCTGCTGGGTTCCACCCTCCTGAATGCTAAGGGAAGTTCCTTGTCTGTGTATCCTGAATAATGGGCTTTAACAGCTTAGATGCAAGATTGTAAAACATCTGTATCGAACTTCTGCCCTCCAGGGTTCTCCCATTGTGCTGTAAGCCTGTATTTAAGACCTCCTCCCTCCTTCAATAAATGGCATTTGGCATTAAAAAAATGAATCATAACCAAGTAGGGTTAATCATAGGAAAAATAATAATAATAATACTGAAAATTAAATTAAAAAGAATACAAAGTAACTGATTAAAAAAAAAGAAATAATTTCGTAAGGTCATATAATACCTCTTTTGTTCTGCATAAAGAAGGTCAAGTATCTTATTGCGGAACCATTTTAATTAATAAATATCAATTGACAATAAAGAAAAAAAGAAAACATGGAGTGCTGTGATACTAGGGGTGCTGGAGACATGGAAACACTGGGGCATGTTTTTGCATCAGGAATTCTTCAGAGTTTAGTAACAGAGCTCCATATTTCCCAGAAAAGCACACCCCCCACCCCAAATTCTGTTTTCATTCTGTTGCTGTGATAAACACCACGACCCAAAGCAACTCGGAGAGGAAAGGGTTGATTTTAGTTTACACTTCCAGGTCACTCTTCATCAGTGAGAAAGTCAAGGCAGGACCTAAGCAGGCGTTAAAGCAGAAACCACAGAGGAGTGCTGATTGCTGACTCACAGGCTCATGCTCAGCTAGCTTTCCCATACAGCCCATGCTCACCTTCCTAGGCATGGTGCTGCCCACAGTGGGCTGGACCCTCCCACATCACTCATCAGTCAAGATCTTCTCTCACAGACATGGCCACAGGACAATCTGATTTGGGCAGTGTCTCAATTGAGGTTCCACCTCTTCCCAGTTCACTCCAGGTGATGTCAACTAACCAGGACACACTTCCATGTGAAACATGGATCCTTCTCCCAGGCCATGTTCTGGTGCTGTGTTCAACAACAGTACCTCCCCAGACTCCCACAAGTGAGCTCAATGATTGAAATCACTGTCCATGGAGCTGTCAGGTCCATTGGTAGGAGATCCTGGCTATTTAAAGAGTTTCCACTTTCTCTCGTTTTCGCGTTTGGGTGCTCACCCTGCCTTCCAGACCTTGGCTGTCTGCTCTCTTCCAATCAATGGCTACAGTAAAGCACCTAACTGGGTCTGTAGAATGACCTGTACCAATTGCCATAAGAGTTTAGCATACTCATTAGCAGATCTCAGGAAGAGAGAATAAGGCTAACACAGAGTGAGCAGCCAGACCAAGCCAGATCCTCTCAACTCTGACACACACTTAGAACAGGTGTTGCACAATTTCAGACTCACAGAACATTTCCACCTTTACCAGCCTTTTGTCTTTCAAAACTGAGTTATTTGGGGACAGGTACCACTTGCCAAAGCTCTTGGGTTTTGTTTGTTTTGTTTTGTTTTTAAAAATATTGATATGCGAGCCGGGCGTTGGTGGCGCACGCCTTTAATCCCAGCACTCGGGAGGCAGAGCCAGGCGAATCTCTGTGAGTTCGAGGCCAGCCTGGGCTACCAAGTGA